TTGACGTTGGCGATGTTGGATTTGGTATCACTGCCAACCAGCTCTCCCTGGGCTGCGACTGTCTGGGTCACATCAAGTACTTTGACGGGTACCGCTCCGACTCCAAAGGCAACCCCGTGCAGCTGAAGAACGTCATCTGTTTGCACGAGCAAGATAATGGTCTGCAGCACAAGCACACCAACTACCGCACCGGCGCCGCCACGGTGGTCCGCAACCGCCATCTAGTAGTCCAGATGATCTGCACCGTCTCCAACTACGAGTACATCTTTGCCTTTATCTTCGATCAAGCCGCTAATATCGAGCTGGAAGTGCGCGCGACCGGTATCCTCTCTACTGTGCCGTTCGACAACGAGAAATTCGGGACGACAGTGCCTTGGGGAACGAACGTTGGGCCTGGTGTGATGGCGCCTTTCCACCAGCACATGTTCTCCTTCCGTATCGACCCCGCCCTGGATGGGTTCAAAAATACGGTCTACTACGAAGATAGCGTTCCCATGCCCGAGGACGAGAATAACCCATACTTGGTCGGCTACACCACGGAACAAACCGTCCTGCGGACCAGCGGCAGCGCCAACACCAGCGTGGAGCGCCACCGGGTGTTCAAGATCCGCAATGACGCCTGCATCAACCCCATCACGTATAACCCGGTCGCCTATAAGTTGCAGGCCTCGCCGAGCCAGATGCTTCTGGCTGGGAACAGGTCGTTTGGCTACAAGCGGGCCGAGTTCGCTACCAAGCCGATCTGGGTGACAAAGTATCAGGACGACGAGCTGTATGCGGCTGGAGAATTTACCAACCAGAGCAAGCAGAGCGAGGGTGTCGAAAAATGGGTGAAGCGCAATGATCCTGTCGAGAACGAGGATCTTGTCCTGTGGCATAGTAAGTTTGATTGACTACTCGTTGAGGCCTCGCTGACAGTCCTAGCTTTTGGTCTTACGCACAACCCCCGGGTGGAGGATTTCCCTGTGATGCCGGTCGAACGTGTCAGTGTCATGCTCAAGCCGGATGGCTTCTTTACCAAGAACCCGGCGCTGGATGTTCCCGCGTCTAACCAGTCATTCAACCGGTCAACGCTGCACCCCGAGCCGGCTGCTTGCTGTGCTCCTGCCAAGGTGAAGTTGTAGTATTGACGAATGACTTGGATACACGCTTGATGAACTCTATCTTATTGTGCTATCATACGCAAAGCACCATGTCTCATGAAGTAATCGGTTATGGATTCAACGCGCGACAAGGTAGTGCGTATGCCGTCGTACAGAATAAAATCTATTAAAGACAGCAACCAGATGATGAACGTAGTGACGCTCCAAGTTTCACTTCCCCGAGTGAATTGTCGAGCATCGGGAATGAGGGCAATGGCTTTGCTCCTGCTCAGAAATCTATTGACCTCTGGTCTCCCAGTTATACAGTCATTCCCGTTGAGAAATTTCTATTCTGGCCCAGTGTATATAACTTTATCCCCGAGTCCCCGACATCTCGGCCGACGAATCGACAAAGCACGGACATCTCACCAAAATACGGTGGTGGTGTCATTTCTGTGATAAATGTTTGAAAAAAGACTGGAAAGTAATAACAGGAACATTCATATATAGAGTCTGATTCTGCATTATTGGCTGCATATTATTCGCTTGGCCGTTGCTTATTCCACTGCATAGAGTGATGTTAATATTACCCAGATCCAATCCTCAAGGTCCTCAGATCAGCATGGCAAGCTTTACTTTATTTTAACCTCTTCTCTGTCATATAGTTTATTTTCAATCATCTCATCTGAGTCTATAAAATGATTCCCTCGTCGTCAAGACAGAATGCACAGAATGGCGGTCTCGGGGTCTCGGGAACCATCAATCGGCGACTCTCTTTTCTGGCTCTTCTGGCTCTTTCTGTCTCTCTGGAAATGATCTACTTATGACTAATGAGCACCCGCCTTTTATTATTGAAATTGTTACCCCTCCACGCATCAACCAGACTCAATCCTAACCACACAAGTCACTTCTATAACCTCCTCCACAAAATGTGCATGCCATCCAAGTGCAGCAACTGCCGTATGTCTCCATTCTCACTGTCGCAGAGTCTTACTGACAAGACTCAGAGAAAAAAACCTGGTGGGGTTGCGGAAGCCATATCCCCTCCGTCATGGACCAGGTGCCCGAGTCTGAACGCTGCACTTGCACTCCCAAGGTCAACGCCGACGGCAAGGAGTATCCCCCCAAGGGTGCCGGTCCTGCCTGACTAGCCGGTGCAAAGTGTGTGGTACAGTAGGAGGGAAGCCAAGGGGTTATGAATGATGAATGATATTGTTATATGGATGTTTTGTTGTATCTACATCATAGAGCATGTGACGTTTCCTTTTTAGGTCCCCTATTTCCCGCTGAAAAGATCTATTGCTCAACCCGGTCCTTGTAGCATCCGGTTTCACCAGCGTGCGAGTGAGGAGCTCTCTTCCTGGATTCCTGCAATTGCGACCGCTTGACCACGGTGGTCATATTGCGCGCCGGGATCGTGTTGAGGCTGTTAGCGTACGTCGCCACCGCAAAGGCCGTCGCCTTAGAGTTGATCAGGAAAGCCTCGCGGTTGAGGTTGGTCACGTTGTCGCCCTTGGCGTGGTAGTTGGCATCCAGAGCCACGCCTGCCTGGCCGCCGAACAGCTTCGCGTGTTCCTCAGTCTTGAGCGCCTCCGCGCCGGTGAAGATGCCTCCCGCGGGGATGCCGTTCAGGATGAAGGCCTCGTAGTCGGAGCGGCCGTTGAACTCGGTGGGCACGAACGGCTTGCGGATCGACTTGTAGTAGTCCTCGAAGAGCCGCTCGATCTGCGCCGAGCCCGCGGGCCCGGTGAGGTTGAACGCTGATCCGTCGCCGTCGTAGATCATCAGGGCGTAGTTGGGGGAGGCGATCATATCGAAGTTGAGATACAGACGGATCTTGGCCTTCTCGGTGGCATTGAGGCTGTTGACGTAGTAGGTGCTGCCCAGCAGGCCGAACTCCTCCGCCGTCCAGAAGCAGAAGCGCACCGCATTCTTGACGGAGAAGCGGGTCAGCGCCTTGGCGACGACCAGGTTGCTGATGATTCCGGAGCCGTCATCGTTGATGCCGGGCCCGGCCTCGACCGAGTCCGTGTGGCCGCCCAGCGCGACGACGTTGTTGGGATCGCCTCCCTTGGTCTGCGCGATCACGTTGTAGGTGGTCCGGTTCTGCACCTTGCTGTCGATCCACAGGTTGGCCGTGACGGTACCCGCCTGGGTCAGCTTGATCAGCGCCTGTCCGTGCGCGAGGCTGATGCCAGCGATGGGAGCGTAGGGTCCCAACTCGCTGGTCGCACCGCCCAGAGTCCCCGCCATAGAACCCTCGATGTTGTTGTACACGAGCGCTGCCGCCGCACCAGCCTTGGCGCTCAATACGGATTTAGTCGCAAAGGGGCACTCGCCCCGTGAGACCAGAGCAATCTTGCCCTTCAGATCGGCGGGATAGTCAGACTCGACGCAGCCCAGGTTGTTCACCACCGCCAGCGGAGCAGTGACATTCACGCTGGGGCTGTAAGTCATGGTGGTAGCCGCATAGGCCTCGCCGTTGACGGTGAGAGCCTGGTCGGCTCTGGTCCAGAGGTGCACCTGAGGCTGCTTGTAGACGTCGTAGTAGCCGGTTTTCTTCAACTCGCGGTAGAGGTAGTTGACGGTGTCCTCGTGGGCCGGTCCTCCAAAGACGCGGTTGCGCTCTGGGTAGGCATAGGCGAAGTCTTCCAGCTTTTGAGCGCCGTCCATAAGGTCCCACAAATGGATCATATGAGGCAAGACTTTCTACAGTAGACAGGATATTTTAGCATAGGAACAAGACAACATGAGAGGAACACTAACCGGATGGACTGGGGGCTCCCACCCTGGGCCATTGGCCAGGGCCAGGGAGGCAAACGACGTGAGGTAGAGCAGCTTCATGCTGACGCTGTAAGAATAAGCCGTCGACTATCTCACAGCTCGGGCTGTAAAGATATTAAAATGCTACAGCTGGAGAAGAAGAATCAACATTCCGATCGTCGCCTGCCTTTTATACATCCCCAGCATGCCATCGCTGCCATCGCTACTGCCAATTGCGGCTGTAAGTCCGCCACTCTGAATGATTCCCCGCGTCGCCATTATAGCGATTATTCACGGAATGGCATCTCATCCCGCCTGGAGTTGCATCCAAGAAGGAAATAATGTCTTGGCAAGAGGAGTGCGTCGACGGCCAAGAGGATAGCATGACTTGGCAGAGATAAGAGTCGGGGTAACAGTACGGAGAAATAGCACTCTTTGGCAACTGCGGCTTCAATCCGATGATAAACGGCATTATCCAGGCTTGTATCTGTTTGTGGCTTCAAGTGCCAAGATAAAGATGAGGCCATTATTGCAGTCCTCGTGTTAATCAAGGCCATGTGCTGTACTACCACTAACGGGCAGCATAGACTACATCCAGATTCCACCTGTACCTTAGGACTCTCTACCTAACCAGCACTACTCCAGAATCTGCTTAGATGCTTATATTATTCCTATTCTACTTGTCGACGATATCCCTCGTGGGTAGAGTCCGGGGCGCCACCCCTGCGGCCCCGCCAGCCGACGCTCTCCGTTGGAATTCCGGTTCCCAAGACCTTGAAGCTTGGCATGTTCGTATTTCTACTGAAGAATGAGAAGAGCCCCGGGGAATCTGTGGAGATTCATGCTTCTTGCTCTTTCATTGCGTTGACAGACTGCCCTAGGGCCATGTCAGTCTCAGTAGCCGTAGATGATGTTGCCTGTATCATGATAACTCAACTTGATATAATCCATATATTCTGCTACATTAGTATGAATGTGCATAACTACTTCTGTGCAGTTTCCTGCAAGGGGCGTCTGTTGGATGTCACGTCCGGCCATTATAACATTAAAGAGCGTAGAAGCTGTATTAAATTGTTCACCAGACAGTAGAAGTCAGCCAGCACCAAATCAGACCTAAGATTATACGTATCCAACGCCAGAAACCAAACGACACGATCAATCCTCCTCATGGACATGCACAGTCCGAATGCGGCCCTTCATATACTTTTCCTTCTGCAACGCAGGAACCTCGGAGATCTGCTGGCCACTCGTTAGATTCCAGCTCTTCTCATCATGGCGTCCCTTGAGCGCGGCGCAATGCCACTTGGCGAGATTGCGATCCCGCACAGATTCATGAATGAATTCGTTCGTGATATCGGACTCCTGGCCCGCCGGGTTATACCCCAGTGGTCTGCGAGTGGATGTCCCTCCCAGCTTACCCTGCAAGGTTCGCAGAATACTGCTGTGATTGACTTTCCCCAGACTCGTCGCCCAAGGAGTCATCTCACTCTCCTCCGTGAGCGGGGGATCATCGAACAGATACTTTTCAATGTCGAAGCTCAACTGCCCATGCTTCGTGCACTGCGCGATCATCCACTCCAGAGTAATGTTCGACAGCCGGGGATTCTCGTCTCCACCCCCGACATCCGTATGCACCCCAGAAAACCACACCTGGAGCAGCTCCTGCCCCTCGTTCTTTTGCGGGATATGCCACACGATCGGCTGGAACGCCGTTCGCTCCTCGTCCAGCGACAGCGCATGGAACGCACAGCGCACGCTCTCATGCAGCACCGTATTCCGCAGCTCCAGCTTCTCGCCCGCATCCCGGCCCAGCCACGCCTTCTGGAACCCAACCGTATCCCACACCCCGATAATCTCGACCGTGAACTGCGGCAGGGGATCGCGGAACCCCATCCGCTTGCGGTCCTCCGCTTTATACCCGGGGATTTTGTTGTTGTAGAAATCATCATAAACAATCGCAAAGTTGTCCATGCCGCGCGGGGTCAGCAGACCCCATTGGCAGACGAGGCCAGCCACTGCACGCGCCGTGTACGCGCCGCGCGAAAAGCCAAAGAAATAGATCTTGTCGCCTTCGGTGTAGTTGTCGGCCAGGAAGCCATACGCCGCTCGGACGTTGGCACTGACGCCCAGCCCGGCCACGCCTGGTCAGGTCAGTAGCAATTCAGTTTTAGTCAGGAAGTCGCGTACCGCCCCAGTATTTGTCTCCGAGACTGGTTCCCACGCCTTTTTGGTAGTAGACGATCTGGGGGATCTCCTCGCCTTCGACGACGGCGAGGCGGCTCAGCACTCTGCTAAAGCGAGTGACGTTTGACGGCGGTTGTGCCGCGTCGGCGAGCGAGTCCTGCCATGTGCCTGGTCAGTTAGCATGAGTTTCGAGAGGAGAGTTGAGGATATCTACCATCACAGCACACAATGAGTCGTTTTGGAGGGCATCGCTTGACACCAGACATGGTAGCGGTGTATTACAAATAATTGGTAGAAGAGATCAGAGACAGAAACATAACAAAACATGATAAATTCTTCATCGCCAGACTGCACCAGGGCTTATATCATAATCCAGCCTGTCGAAGAGCGCATTGCCATTTTATTTGTCAGAGTCTGGTGAGCCGCCAGCTGAAGACGTTCTCCAATGACAATGACGAAAAAGAGGCCGTTTGCGGCATAAACTTTGTGAATCCTCCAATTTGACTCCAGATCATCACCTCAGACTGGCTGACAGGAGGCCAGTGCTGGGGCTGACAAGGACAAATTGACACAGTCATTGGGCGCCGTTTTGCTTTTTCTGTGGGATGCGCTATCGACTCTGGCTTGGTGGATTGATTGGAGGAAGCGGCAGAAACGCTGAAATAGTTTGGAGCACTGCAGCATTGGCGATGGGCCCAGAGCAGTTCGTCTCGCCAGTTCAATCAGCCTCGTCATGTTCGTCTCAGCTAAGCAGTCAGCAGGTGGGATAATAAAGTATTAATATCCTCAGCTTCCGCCACTCACTGCAGCCTCGGCTATTCTTCCTTCGTCCACGGCCTCACTGGATCTCGTCAGATTTATGCTGTTTCAAATTAATGAGAGCAGGATCAAACGTTTCACATGGATCATTTTGATCATTTTGTAGACCATCATCACTTGTCGAAATCATTATGTAATACTATGGTTTAGTGTGGAGGTATCATCGGACATATATAATAATTGTTGTATTCCCTGCTGTGTAGACCCTCCTATCATCCCTACTAGCTAGAGATGGTTATCTGGATGCCTTTTTGGCTGAGCGGTTTGATATGACAATCATTAAGGTTCTGGCATTGAGATATTTGGACTTATTGATGCATGTTGGATACGTATAATCTTATGTCTGATTTGGTGCTGGCTGACTTCTAGTGTCTGAACCAACTGTATACAGCTTCTAGGCACGTCTAATGTTATAATGGACAATAATGACATGTTCAATAGCTGTCCCTTGCAGGAATTTAAGCAGAAGTAGTTACGCACATTCCGTTGATGTCGCAACTCTGAGCAGCCGACTCTTCATCCCTTGCATACTAACTCTGCCGACGCGGAACAGAATTAACAAAACGCGACACCCTCGCTCTGGAACCTGCACCTTCGAGCGTTCGACAAATTCAAGCACGATTGCGAGAAGAACTTATCTCTATCTTATAGGATGGACTACTCGCGCCTCAGAAGGGACGAAGACGAGGAGTTCGTCTACGACAAAACAAGACCGCCCACCCAACCACAAGCCAGTGGTTATCGCTCAAACGCGACTCTCCTCTCCAGCCTGGCCCTCACCATCTCCATAATAACCGGCATCTTCACCTTGATAGCGTATACAAACGGCCAACGCGGTCGCACCCCCCAATCACCAGAAACCCTCTTCCGCTGCGGCACCTCCGCCGCCGAAGCCAAAGCAGCAGGATGCCATTTCGACCTGATGTCCTTCTCCTGGCTCCCGTCCGCCTGCTACAACGAGGACCTGACGAACGACTTCCTCAACTACACAGACTGGAAATGGTCGCTCGACATCGAGGGGAGCCACCTCGTTCCGAAGGAGAATGTCCAGCAGGGGGACTTTGAGTATCTCTTCACAAGCTACGAGTATCATGTCGTGCACTGCGTGTTTATGTGGAAGAAGACGCACCAGGCGATTCTGGACGGCACCTTTGATCACCTTGATGGGTATATTGCAGGACTGGGACATACAGGGCACTGTGGGGAGATGTTGCTTGATCGGACGACAGACTTGCAGGCCTGGGGAACGCCAGGGTGGACGAAGTTTCCAGCGTGTGGGAAGGGAGTGCTTAACCTGGAGCATGGGTGGTATCGGATGCATAATGGGGAGAAGGCGTGGGGGATGCCGGGTGCTGGGGGGCATCATCACTGATCTGCTTAGTCGCTAGGTTGCAGTAATATCATTTGTCTGCAGGTGGCCAGGGATGTCAAGTAATAGTAGTATTGTCTGCAATAAAACGAGGACAGAGATTAGACTATGCAGTACCATTTGTAATAGGCTCAGGCATGCTGACTACCACCTTCAGAGCGCCATGTATAGAGGATACCTCGAACGCTTCGTAGGCGTCCAAACAAACATGCGTTGGATGTAATCATGCAGGGGTATTGATTGGGGAGTATAGTACCATGCATTAAAAGCCAGACTTACAGATGTAGTACTTATCGAGCACAATAGGCAGCGATAGCCGACGAAATCCTATGGATAACAATTCGAGACTTGGTCAGGATGCAAAGCTCGTCGCCCTCGGTTGATTGTATGCTGGGATTCAGTTGTCCTTCAATGATAGGATCCGTGGAGGAAGTCTCATTTGATAAACATAATATTCATAAGATATCCCAGTGTATTAAAAATTAATACTGGTTCTGAAACTATTCTAGTACGGCTGCTAGTCCGTTAAGACTGCCAAACAGCATTGACCTGAGGCGCCACAGGACATCCGGCTGGAACCGTATACACCCTATTGCTTCCACCCTCCCAAGTCACAGAGTTATCAGGCTCAATCTTGTAGAACTTGTACTCGATGGTAACACCCGGCGCAAGCCCCTTGACTGTGGCAAACCAAAGATTCTCACTGGAGGTGTAGAGACCGGCATTCAGACTATAGCCAGCGCTCGAGTTCCAGTTGCCGAGAGCGCTAGCATTACCGGTCATGTACACATTCTCGCCCCAGTAGGTGTTCTCGATCAACCAGAAAGTAACGGGAACGGTCACAGCGGGGACGCAATGAGCGGTGGACGTATGGAAGGGAGGCGCCACAGCGCTGTAGGTGCCTGTTATGGTAGTTGTGCTGCAGGTAGTAGGAACTGTATTCGCAGATGACGAGCCCCAGGAGCCCGGCATAATGGAGAGGCGGCGCTGAAGGGCAGAGAGGAATGCTGCAAAGGACCAGGTGAGATCATTGGCCGAGAGAGGAACGCCGGTGTTGCGGTCATACTGCTCAGCCAAGGAGCCGTTGCTTGGGGTGTATTGCTCGACAAGGAAGACAAAGTTATCAGCGTAGGTGCGGATGTACTCGGTCAGGGATTTGTAGGTGGGGTCGTTGGACTTGTAAGTGCCTGGCTTGACAGTCGACGAGAAGTCCCGGAAGAACGCGAGGGAGGTTTGGGTGACGGTCAGATAACCTTGTTGCTGCCACTGGTGGAGGGCATCGTACAACTGCTCAGCTGCCGCAAGGGTTGCAAGGTACCTTTATTTATCAGAAACATGCGCGTAATAATTGACAAGATTGGTTTGACTTACCATGGGTTCCCTCCCTGATAAACATCCTCAGGGTAACGGCCCACATTTGCAGCCTTTCCAGGACCAAGACCGGCGTTGATACCATAGATGGAGCGGAAAGCGTCCACGTAGACCTTATGATTTGCCAAAGCTTTAGATGAGCAGGGTTGGAAGGTCGAATCATCGCAACCAGCCGCAGGGTCAAAGGTATGGATGCTGGTCAGGACCGAGTTGAGATCGATGCCTGAGCGCCCATTATTAACGTTAATGTTCGAGACAATGGCGCTTCCGTTCCAGTAACTCTGCAGAAAGCAGAGGATCTGTGGAGCGACCGAGTCGTACACAGCATGAGACTTCCCCAGAGCCTGAGCTACCGCACTGCCTTCAACCATAGCTCGGTGCTGAACGGCGGTCGTAAAGAAGGAAGAGCCGTCGACTTCTTCCCAGAGATCGAATCCGGTGTGATTCCAATACTGAGCGACATAGGCGAGATCGTTGGCGACAACAGGCCAGATGAGGTTGGAAGCCACAGATTGTTTCCCTTGCTGGATTAGATGGCGCATGTAGGTCAACATGGCAATGGCGCGAAGAGCAGGACCATCGCGCTGGGGACGGCCCCATCCACCAGAGTATGGGTTGAAATTGACCTCAAACTTGGGCTCACCGAGGCCAGACCCATCAGAAAGACTGCCAGATGGGTTGGACACGTTCTGCAAGACTGCCTGGGAAGAGATATAGTCCTGAATGTGACTTTCAAGGGTGTCGAAATTGACCCCGAGGAATTTGTTGCCCTCAACAAAGAGATCCACGAGCCCTTTGGAAGTCAATGCCGCGTCACGCGTCCATGTGAAGAAATCTAGAGAAGGGAGTAGATCGAGTCAGCTTGTTCCTATCAAGGGTTTCTCTGGCTGGCACATACAATCGGGATTCTCTGTATTAGGGCTCGCAATGAGTAATCCGGCCGCGGTGCCTGGTGCATTACTGCCAGTGTTCCCAAGGGCTTTGAGGATGCTCTCGTAGGAGAACAGTCCCTCCTTGACCAGGTAGGAATTCGCAGCTTCAGAGGAACGTTCTGCAAGTTCATTGGCAGGGGAAGCAGTAGCCAGGTGTCCGAGGACACTGGCTATGCCTACAGCAATGCTGGAAAAACGCATGGTATTTGATCTGCGAGACAGGTAGCACAGTAAATTTCTCGCGAGTTAAGAGAATTGTGTGGGGAGGTTCCCTTTATATTTTACTTTCATCAGGTGGCTTAAGATTCTAGCGCCATCACTAGGTCCAAATGTTGATCTCAGTGAATTATTCCATAAAGTGGATGATCTTGTTCTCTGTATATACGCTAAAAGAAGGCTAAGAGGAAGGCTGGCATTCCAACCACAGAGGATTCACTTGATACCAAGATATTAACGACGGTGGCTAGAAGGGTTCTTAGTGGTCAGGGGGACAACTGTATGCTAGCCACACAGCATGCGATTTAATACTGCAGAGTGCCAATGCGCGGGGAGAGCTGAAGTTTATTTAAATACATTCTCTGGGGAACTGGAGAACCCATTGTCTTAATAGCTGATTTGTCTGCTTGGCCGAGGTTTTGCTACTAGTGCCGGGGCCGGACATTTATCGCTAATTATACAAATGTCTTAGTTACCAAATCACCTGGCGCGATGTTATTCCCACCTTTTTCCTCAGCGAGAACAAGTACTAGGAAATTGATCGTCATTGTCCATATCCAATCTGTATCTTATTTGTCCTCCCACTCTTTCCTCGCGATTCCGTCAATGCTCTTCGATTCCTCTCTTAGTGGTGTTAAGGCAATATTCTACCATCATGTTTAGCCTTTTGTTGCGTCCCTGCTGTGTTGCCCCTACTACTACTATCCCTACTAGCTAGAGATGGTTGTCTGGACGCCTTTTTGGCTAAGTGGTTGGACGTATGACACCTTTTGTCCAACCATCGCCTGGCGTGAGCAAGTTGCAACTCCCAGCATCTCACAGATTTGACAACCATTTCATTGGCCCGAATGAATACAGGAATGTTGAAAGAGCGTGTCTGAACTGTCGCTTACAGGCAGCGACAGTTTGTAAAAGAGTTTGACAACGCATGGATTTTCTATTGCGCATCCTGCTGGAATCCGCTGTACAGGAGCCTTCTGATACCTGACGTGGACAGTTTGAATTCATCACTTGCTGCTTGTGAGTTGGGATCAGTAAAGAGAGAGAAAAATTCTTCTGAGGCTGTGGCTGACTGTTCCCAGTAGAGATCCTTGCTAAACACACCACATGTTGTTACTCTTTTGACTGGACGACAAGACATCAATGGGGAAAACATCCACACCTCTGAAGATACCCGTATTCGACTCTCGTCATTGTCATATTGGCATTTGTTGGATCATCCTCTACCCTTTCCTTTGCGACTAAAGTCGGTTTTTATCCAGCAAAACAACTCATGGCTCTGGGAGGTGATACTCATAAGGACAACCAGCCCACGGAATTTCCATCAAATTTCGACTCAAAAGGCCTACTATGTTAGATTGATATCTTCCAATTACACCTCCAAAGCCAGACACTTATTCCCAGCCGTGGCCTGCGCAATGCCAAACGCAACACGAGCCCGCGGGCTATCAACCAGTTTTATTCTGGGCAATAGAGTTGTCTCCAATCTAGACCAAGGCAACAACCCACATTCGTCAGCTGTTCAGCTATTCTGGAGAATTGTGGTCCTCCTCGTTCTTTTCCATAAATAAAAAGACGCTTAAGCATTATTGATGCGGAGAGACAGAACCGTCTAGAAAGGCGTGGTAGAGTAGCTCAGTGTAGTTGAGCGGACAGATTCCTGTTCAAAACAGAGAATACCTAACACATTTCGAATTTCGGTCGTGGAGTAGCAGCCAGGCCAAGACTGTCCTTGCATCAAACGACATCTAACGGAATATGCTGGGGAGGCTCGTCAATAATCAGCGTCATCCCAGGCTGCACGACTCCTCCCTTCTTCACTGTAGCCATGACACCCGCCAACCGCCTGACAATGTGACGATCTTCATCAAGAACCAAGAACCGGTCCTTCAATCCAGCCTGGAACTTGTCAATTTGAGGACAGGGGTTTCTCAAGCCCGTGAGGGCAATAACGGCCTCGTTGCCCGCAGCCACGCCATCTCCAACAAAACGAATCTCCGTCCCTGCACCGAGACTCAAGAGATCCACTCCCTCAGTGGTGATATTCTGCCCTAGTGCACCGGGCCTCAGAAGCTGCGTCTTCATCTCCTCAGTTGGCAATGTTGCGCATATATCCCGCAGCACCTCCATTGGCATAAGGTGTACTTGGCGAAGGTTTGCCGGTGGAGGCTTGATGTGGAGGTGTGAGCGGTGTTGAACGGTCTCGCCGGCGTGGCAGTCCCCTTCCACCCCGAGATTGGCGATAAGTTTGACGGAAGAGACGGCGCTCTTGGAGAAATTATGCGAGGGTGAGGTCGTCACGGAGAGGACGTGGGGTGGCTTTGATTGAGGGGCTGCCATGGTTGAGCTATGGAAGCCGACGCGATGCTTTGCACAGACCTTCCTGAAGCCACTTGATGCCCTTGTTGATCGTAGATTCAACCGATCCGGCCTAAATCTATCTTCTTGAGAAAATTTATGTAGTGGGGAAGGGAGTAGAATAAGGGCAGCAGGATGACATGACTCACACAAGAACATGTGACGATGGACCTTGCTATTGGCTGTCTGTCCTCTAACGGCCTTCAACAGCCACGAGGATGTGGTCCCTTGACGGTTTCACAGTATCTTGACTTCTTTTAATGGATTTGAGATCAATGACCCGTTGTACTCAACCATGGTTGACCTGCACAATTGCCGAATGCTTAAATAGTAGCGTTGTCGCAGGGTCCACCAACCGTGTTGTAAGTCCTGCCCAGTGGTATCGAGGGCTCATCGTCCAGAGGGATGTCTATCTGGCCGACTGATGCTATCGCTCGGTGTCCGGCCCATCTTCGATTAGGTGAATTTGGCCTTTTATTTAACGTGACAGTTCACCGGGAAGGGAAACTCTGGGGCCCCTGTCTCTCATGTTTGCCAGCTGCTTCCTGTTATTGCTGCTGAGAATATGACACCCGACTCGCCAGTATCGATATACCCATTGTCCGCAATCGAACGTGCATGGATATTAGGATGGGTCAGATATGTTACGGATTAACTCGATCCCAGCCCACAAGCAGTCTATGTCCAACTTAGCGGTTTCCCTCTAGTTCCGGCCTGTAGAGCACTAGTCGACGATGCTATTCATATCATTCCGGCCATAATATCTATATATGGATCCTCATTTGCTTAAGCCTCTCTGTAGTCCAATTAGTAGACTGTATGATTGGACGCCTAGACTACCTTACCCATCGACCAAGCCTCGCAAAGGCCTAACCTAGTTTGCATTGGATCGGCGACACAGCCATGATCTGCGTTGATTCGATACTTGGGAGGCCTAAAAGAGTTCCGACATCCAACCATAGCTAAGAGATTTCAGTTCGTATACTTTGTACTGAGACAGCAAGTAGGCTGAGCTATCTAATCCTGTTAAGCCACTGCTTTGGAAATCTATCAAGAAGAAGTATAAAAGAACATTAATCCCCCGAGTTGAAGAGCATCAATGTCAAACAATCCAGTTTAACTGTCTATCAATCTATCCTTTCTCACTTTATAAACCCTTCCCATATCATACAAAATGAAGGCCACTGCCATCTGCTCTCTTCTCCTGGCTGTCGGCTCTGCTATAGCTGCCCCTGCTAAACGGACTGAGCAAGCCATTACTATCAGCGGCCTCAGTGCCTTTCAAACCAACCAGCAGGGATATATCACCTTCACCCTGAAAGACCCCAACTACGACGACTCCACCGGCGCTAATGTAATCTGGTATATTTATCTACCCTCTTGATTCGATCTGTAATCTAACAAACATGGCCAGGCGTCGTCCCGGAAGCCCCGTTGCCGGCGCTCGCACCAGCGACGGTGCCTACTATGTGAATTTCCCAGGTGGCGTGAACGACATTGCGGTCTTTACTCTGGGGGTGCAGCGGGTCAAGGGCACCGAAGCAGTCTCTGTCACTCTCAATGACAATGGAAATGGCAGTGCCCCGGGCACCAAGTGGTCGTGCACCTCGACCAATGACTCCGTTGAGGGGATACTTGAGAAGTGTACCTACGATGGCGACATCACTTTGACTCCTTTCGATTCCTGAGCTTCACTGGCTTGTGATAGTGTCTTTCATTCTGTCTGTGTAGTATGGGTGCATCATAGAAGTTATCTTAGACAATGTATTTGCTTTGCATTCACAAGTCCTAGAATTCATGAAAGCGTGGATCGTTGCCTCTATGCTATTAGACTGAACGGGGCGGTTTCAAACTAGAAGCCTCCCTTCTATCATTTGGGTTTCCTTTTTCAGGCGTCCTGCAAATTTCTTCAAGGGTATTCTGTAATGTCCTTTACTCAGACCCGTGTTCATCTTAAGCTTTCTGTAGCGATCGGCCGAATTACGTTTAGGATTAGGCGTGCCATTGAGCTGAGCTTCGCCGGGAGACCCCAATGAAAGTCCAGTAACTCGTGAAATATTTATAGGATAACACAGCAGAATCAGGTTTTATGACTGGAGTTATGAACTTGGCATCAGAGCTTGGGCACATAGTCCATGTGGGAGAACCTGACAGAGCATAATTACCATCCTCGCTCCAATTTGAGGCACATATTAAAAGACTTCCATCGAAAGCACTTGACTCTTTATCTGTCATGATGAAGTCTTTAAGGTTAACTCTGCTTCCTTCATTTGCTTTTCTCAGTTCGTCTTATGCACTACCATCCCACACGACACGCTCTATGGTAAACGACTGGGCAGCTGTGAGCAATCCGCCATCGTATGCGTCACTAAAATTCTTCGACTGACGCACAATTAGATTGAATCATCTCTGGATCTCCAGTGGACTCCTTGCTTCGACAACGAAAAAACAAAAACTTCGATGCAGAACAAATTTTTGAAATTTCTTGCCCAAATCAATGTCTTTCAACCCCAAAATTTGCCTAATTTCTTGTGACAATGACTGCCTTTAATTGATCCTAATTTTATAGGGTCTTAATTACCATGTTATTATTAAAGCCAGGGTGGCTGCCCCTGATGGCCTCCTACAGTGATGAAAAGGGGCCACAGAAAACTCTATATAATTATATCCTAGACCTTCATCATGATATAAGCATCTATTTAAACTATCTAAAGGTTTATAATTAAGGAATCCTAAAGCCTCTTATTAAGCTAATTACTAATATATATACTATTATTAAGGAGGTCCTTAAAAACCCCTTAGGTAATGATTAGAGGAAGGTAGTTACTAACCTCTATAAGATTACTCTTAATATTAAGAAGAATACCACCTCTACCTAGTATATTCTAACTACTTAATCTATTCCTATATCTGCTAAGGTTTAGTTATATATAGCTACTACTATAGAGGCACCCCCCCTAGGTTATATAATCTCCTCTTATAGCTTCTTAAGTAGTCCTAGGGCTACCCCCTTAGAACTAAGTAAGGACTATAAGGTTATTATTAAACTACTAGATACTAATATAGTAAGTATATTCTAGTGCCTAAAGATAGTAAAGATAAAGAATAGAGCTAAGAAGGCCTATATAAAGGCCTTAAAGGAGACTATAGTAGCTATCCTTATATCTATTAAATTTATAGCTACCTACTAGCTTAAGTTAGGTAACTTAAGCCTTAGCCTATAGACTACTTAGTAAGTAGAGATTATATACTACTACCCTAGCTAGGCTAAATTATTCTACTAGGGGGCTATCATCCACCTGCTAACCTAGGGCATGGTAGTTTATAATATCTAGGTTAAATTAATTAGTAATCTAGCAGACCCTAAGGAGGCTAAGTAAGTTACTAACTAGTTACTAGCTAAGAACTAGTTCTCCTAGGGAGAAGCTAAGATTATTTATATTACCTAGCTTATAAACTAGCCTGCTAATAAGAAGTCCTCTACCCTAGTAATTAAGTTTTTAACCCCCTAAGCTGCTAATAAAGCTATTAATAAGGGAACTATCTAGGATTCTATTATTTTAACTATAATCTTATATAACTAGTCTGCTTATATCTACTAGTGTTTTAACTATCAGCAATATGGCTATATAGGAAATATCTATTCTAATAAAACTATTTATAGCCTCTACATAGGCAGCTATAAGACCTATAACTGCCTACTATAGCAGGCTGCTGCTAGCTAGAAGCTATGAAAGTATACTAATTACAGGGACACACACCCTGCCTAGTCTAAAGAGTATAAGAAGTATATAAAGGAGGTAAATAAGGTATAGGTAGCATCCTACTACTACTAGTAATATTACTATATTCTACTATACCTATAAGACTTCTAAAGGGAGTCTAAGAGTAGTAACTTAGATTCTACTACTATACTAAGTACCTCTATCCTAGCATCCACCCCTATAGATATAGATGCCCTAATAGAGGGCTCCCTAATATAAATTAAGGGCCCTGAGGGAATAAAGGGATCTAAAAATACTAAGGGCTTTACTATAGTAAAAAAGGCTACTAGACTATCTAAGGGGTCTAAGAAAGTAAGATTAGAGCTATCTTATAAGTAGCCACCCTGTGGCTAGGTGCCTACCTTAATATTATCACTAATATCTATACTAGACTAGAATATTAATAATATCTTATTTACCCCTCTAGCATCTTACCCTAAGGCATTATCTATATCCATAAAGAAGAAGGCCCTGACTAATTAAACTAGCTCTACTAATTAAACTAGCTCTACTACCTCCCACTATTCTGCTTGCATTATGAACTACCTAAATAATATTAATCTACTAGATCTAGCTAATAAAGATGACATCTACCCCCTAAAACTACTATAGAACTAACAAACTGCTGCTATGCATGGGACCTACCTTAATATATATTAAGATAGCACTACTACTAATAATAAGAATAACTATACTAAGCTCTCTAAAGCCCCTAAGAGTGACTAGCAGCCTAGCTTAGTCTTATAAGATAAGAATACTAACACTAATTCAAGCACCTAGACTAAAAAGAAGAAGCAGAAGTAGGGTATAGATACCCCTATATAACTAGAGAAGGACCCCTAGGTTAACTTCTCTATAGGGATACTCTAGTTTACTAGTAGCTATTAAAAGAATATATAGAACACCCCACACCATGCTTTCTATAGATAGAATATTCTAAATACTATAATATAATATACACTATTCTAAGAATATAATAATAGCTTAGTTTTTATATAACCTAGAGGTCCTAAGGATAGATATTATTACTATCTAGGAACCCTAGGATAACCTATTCTAAGATACTACCTATTATCCTACTTAAGTAACTCACTAGCTACTCTACCCTAAGATAATAGAAACTAGTAGCTATACCTAAGTCTACCTTTATATCTCCTACTAGATAGACTCTACTAAATAGAAGTATATAGCCTACTTATAGGACTACTAGGAGCTTAAGCTATATTATAATACTAGAATACTCTACCTATATAATATCTATAACCCACACCTGGATACTAACACCTAAACTAATACCCTTAACCTTCTAGAGCAAGCTATTAATTAATAAGATAGCTACCTACTCTTAGGAGATTTTAACCTCTACTACCTAGCCTAGGGTAGTGACCATGTCTACTATACTAACCCCAGGTCTAATAAACTACTAGAACTAACTAATACCTAGCTCCTAGACCTATGAATAGAGCTAGGTGTAGTAACCTAAGATAAGTAAGGCTACTAATTAACTATTAATCTAATATTTAGATTTATAGACCTAATAGCCTATCTTATAGCCTGTGAGGTGGCCCCTAATATCTATATAGACTTTAACCACCTACTAATTTATCTACTTCTTAATATCTTAATACTGCTACTGCAGGCCCTAAAGCACTGTAATTAGAAGGCTATAGATACCTAGAAGCTTTATAAATTCATTACTAAAAATATTAACCCCTATAGATAGTGCAGGGACCTTAAAACCCCTAATTAGATTAAGGATACTACTAACTACCTTCTTAAGACTATCTAGTAAGCTATTACCTAATCTACACTATGGGCCTGCCTATCTAAATAGGCCAACCCTAACTAGATACCTAAATACACTAAGATGGTTAAACTAGCCTGCCTCTACTAATAAATCTATACTAACACACATACTAAAGATAACTAGATTATATATATAAAGGCATGTAACTAGAAAGGAAAGGTTATCTCCTAATCCCTGTAGTACAGCTATTATAAATAGGTATAGCAGATAGTTAATTAAGGCCCCCAGGGCATATAGTGCATCACTAAGTAGGCCTGGAGCTGCTAGGGAAGTAGCTAGATAGATATCATCCCTACCCTCTACTATAGAGATTATATTATAGAGATAGCTAAGTAGAAAGCTAATCTACTCTAAGAGACCTTCTTCCCTATACCCCTAGCTACTAATCTCTTAGATATTAAAGGAAGAATATATAATTAATTATAGGATATTATCTTCCCTAAGATTAATAACTAAGAGATTACTAAAGCTATTAGATAAGCACCTCCTAATAAGGCACCTAGACCTAATGCCATCCCTAATAAGATCTAGTATGCCCTAACTATAGTCCTAGCCTTTATCTAAGCACTAAAAATCCTTTTTAATACCTATATCTATATTAGATATAATCTATAATACTTCTAGGTATTAATAATAGTTATCCTGTATAAAACCACACCCTAAGACTTCTGCCTTCTAAAATCATACTACCCTATTACCCTGCTTAATATTCTTAGTAAGGTCCTAGAGTTAATCATCATACTCTATATCTCCTAGGTACTAGAGGAATATAGCTTACTCCTAAAAGGCTACCTAGGCAGCTAGAAGGGCATCTCTATTAACTATACTATCTAACTAATTCTTAATATAATCTACTGCACCTAGGGGTCTAGCTAGAAGGTTAGTATACTACTACTAGATATCTCTAGCACCTTTAATAATGTCTCCTTCTAGTGTCTTCTATATAACCTCTAAACTATATAACTAGGTTAGATTACTAACTAGCTATAGTCCTTCCTATTAGATTACTCTATATAATTATAGCTACCTAGGTTCCTAAGTAACCTATTTACTATCTATATAGGAATCCCATAAGGAAGCCTGCTCTTACTAATCCTATTTCTAATTTTTAACACCCTATTAATTTAAACACTGGTACATCAGCTTAGTAATATAAAGATAATATCTATTAGCTAGATAGATGACTCCTATACTCTTACTACTAGCTAGAGTTTTACTTAAAATATCACAGTCCTAGAGAAATACCTAGAAAAGGTAGATTACTAGGCTATAGAGCACACCACTAAATTCACCCCTAATAAATTTAAGTTAATTTACTTTACTAACCTAAAAGAACTAGAACCTACCTATAAGCTAACCCTAATAGGCCCTACTAATATCTAGGAGCTATATAAATATAAGGGCTATAATTAAATATCTATCTATTATAGGTAAATAACTATCTAACCCACTGAGTTAGCTAGATACCTTAGCATCTAGCTTAATAAAACTCTCTTATTTAGTACTTATTGCACTAAAGCACTTAACTATATAAATAGTAGCCTAGAAGTACTATAAAGCATCACTAGGTTAACCTAGGGTGCTTTACTAGAGGTCATGCATATAATCTATTATAGTGTGGTTATCCTATAGCTCCTATATAGAGTTGCTATATAGTTTAGCCCTACTAGTAGGTTAATTCTAGCTATAGATTAGAATAAGATTATTAATAAATTCACTAAGATCTAGAAGTATATAGCTATCCTAATTAGTGGTGCCTTTTAAGGGACTACTATAGCTATACTTAATATAGAACTATATTTATAGCTAATTTACCTATAGATATAGTAAATTATTAAGGAAACTGCTATTTAAATCTAAATAGGACTATGCTTTATATACCTATAAGGAATTATAGGGAAACTATAACTAACTAAGGAAATACTATAGAGTAGCCTTACCCTACTAGAAGTACTTAGGAAGAGAGATAGCCTATTAGCCCCTACTACCCTAAAGTACCTTAAGGAGTAGGAATTATAGAAAGTATATATATTCTCTCTATAGGAGCTGCCCCTCTATTATATAATTAGGGACTATAAAGCTGCACTAAAGACCTATAATAAGATATATAAAGAGATGGATGACTAGCACCTAGTCATCTATATAGATAGTAGTAGCTATTAAGGCTATATAGGTGCCTCAGCTATCTGCCTCTATAAGTAATAAATCTATTAGAACCATCTAGGTGCAGAAATAAATTTAACTATATATATAGTAGAGCTAGATGGAATCTATATAGTAATAGATACTACTATAAATCTAAACTACCTATCTACTAGCTACTACTTACTCACCCTCTTTACTAATAGCTAGGCTATTATCTAGGTAATATAGAACCTGTGCCACCCCTCTAGTTAGTATATTCTAGATATAATATATAGAAGTATATAGGCCCTAGGGGCATATAGGCTATCTCTAGAGAATATAAAGATATACTAGATCCTAGCCTATATAGGCATGGTAGGGAATAAAGCTATAGATAAGATAGTAAAGAAGGTAGCTATATAAGGGGATAAGATTTAAATAAGCTTAATAGGGTAATCTAATTAGCTAGAATAACTAATTATCTAGCTTACCATAGTAGCTAAATAAGCTATCCACTAGCAAACCCAGTAGTACTAGAAGAAATAGTAGAAGATAGAGAAAGGGGCTAAGCTAATATAATAGCTAATTAAGGCCCCTTATAAGAATAATCTAGGCCTATATAAAGGCCTGCCAAAGCTATATATATTAATTATTATCTAGATATAGACCTTATAGATTAGTCTATAATACTTCCTTTTTAAGATTAAGGCCTCTAACTTAGACTAGTATAACTATAAAGAGGGATCTTAGACCCCTAGATATATTCTTCTATAGTGTCTATTATATATGGAGGCCTATAGGAAGATAATTACTAAGCTATATAATATAGAGGGACTCTAGGGGAAACTATTAGACTATAATATACTTATATCTAACCTATAGGTAATCTGCTACATTACTAAATTTATATACTAAATAGGCCTACTTAGCTAATTCCACCACACAGATATAGACAAGCAGGACTATAAATAAGGAAGCCTCTTATAAGGCTCTAGGATAGATATAGAAGATAATAGTTAGATAGACTAAGCAGCTATCTAGGAGGGGTCCTCCTAGGCACAGAATTATACTATGCTTAGAATAACTACATGAAATAGAGTAGGATAGGTGTTTGATGCATACTAAGATAGCATAGGGGAGACATATAGTCTAGTGATAGGCTACTTTAGCTGTGTATTCTGCTTTTAATGTAGCTATATACTAATTTCCTATGTCTTTTCTATATTTGTGGGTTTCTAGGGCTTCAGGTATTTAGATACTAGATTCCTACTTCATTTAGTGAAGCGCCTGTATAGCTAATCACTTCAATAGATAGGCTACATCAGGTTAATAGAATCTTGATTGATTGATTGATTGATTGCTTCGACAACTTCACATGTGCACGGCTCCAGGTTCCCTTGGATTACGGGGATCCATCACGGGGAACTACAGCGATTGCCTTCATTAAACTCGCTGCTACAAATGTGACACAAAACACACAGAATCTGCTAATTAACCAAGGTGGTCCTGGAGGGCCTGGTGTTGAGCTCGTACTCCAGGGAGGAGCCAGTCTGGCTGAGGCTCTCGCATGGCAGCATAACATTGTCGGTTTCGACCCCCGAGGTGTCGGGCAAAGCGGTCCTGTCGTGGACTGCTGGCCGAATCACCCAGAGAAACGCGCGCCCAGTTTGAAAATTTTCTACCCAGAGGTCTCTCACGCTTCGTCAACGGCCCTGGACACACAGTACTACTCCGCTGAAATTTTTGGCACGGCATGTACCGAAAACGCGGGAGGACCCAATGGGAACGCTCGACCACCTCGATGAATCCGGCGTCGATCATGCGCTGCTTGGACTCGTCGACAATGCGAAGGCTCTTGCCGAATCGATCACCACTTTCCAGGCTAGTTTTGCCCCATTTCTCGTAGACGGTTCCAATGTGACTTCCGTCGTCTGATGTAGGCACAACTCCCATCTCGACTTGTTCGATATACCCGCCTGGGACTAGGTGTCTTCCACCACCTTCATTAGCACACTAGACCACTCCAGAATCGGCGACGGCGTACTTCAGAGCCTGTTGGTAAAACCTATCCCAGTCGGCCACGGAACCATACAACCCCCGCACATGAATGTAGTCAAACGGCTCCCGGTACATCCACTCGTCACAGCAATCGTCAACCTCGAAGCTCAGGTTCGGCGGTACCATCCACGGCTGGATGGGCGAGAGATCAGTCCCGATGACCGTGGCTTCGGGATACATATCCGCAAACTCAACGGCCCAGGCCCCCGTCCCCGTCCCGACATCCAGAACTCGTTTCGGATTCTGTAATGGAGCGAGGTGCAACTCGCCGTGGAGAAGGAGACTGTACAAAAAGTGGCAGATATCCATCGCATCTATCGCCTTTTCATCGTTCGACCCCCAGTACGCACCGGCGTGGTAGGCGTGGTACCGTCGCCCATTTTCGTAGATGTAATCAAAGACACTGCTGCGGAGGGACGTTACTTCCGAGTCTGTCGCTGTGTAAGTTGAAGCCCAGTCATCGCCCGAGTCGACGGTGATGGTTTCTGCCTCGGCGGTCATTTTCGCGGGGGGGTTTGGCGGACAAAGGATGGGATGACAGGGGAGGTCGCCCCTTATATGCGGGACATTATCATCTGACGCACTACAAGTCCGAACAGGGACCTGTAGCGGCGTCTTGTCGGCGTGCAATTGCTGGAGCAAGGAATAAATCGAGTGGCCAATCATGGCATTGCCGAGATGTCCCCGATTCGCCGTTGTTGAACCGTTGAACCGCCATGACAGTGGGGTTTATGGCGCATTAAGCGTTGGATGGTGTCGTCCATTGCACTCTAGGTATACGCCGTGTACAAATGGCCACCTTGCCTAGAAAGTTTGAAGCCTGTCTCCCATTCGGTTGCTCCATACTTTATGTTCGTACCGAATACGTCAAGTTCCTATGTGCTAGAATCCTTAAACAAATCTGACATTTTACTGGTGTCTCGAATGAAACAGCCAAGCAGACGACGCAGGCTAGTCGGTTCTAGACGAATCTGGCCACCGTAATTCCCGGCACGAGCTCAATTGGCTCTTATTTATCATCTCAAATGGAGTGTCGCATTTCCTACGGATGAGGGGCAAGAGAACGGGCAGTGCCGACATCAATCCTATGTCAGTCATCATCTTTTACTCAACTTTCCCAACAGATGCTAGCGTGGTATCATGCTCAAAATAAGAAGTCAGTTATCAATCTCTCATCAGACTATAATTGTTGACAGTCTTCCAAGAATATCTACACCTACAACCCATCTACCCTTAAAATTTCCATAATGACGAACACCAAACTGCGCCAAATACCAAGCTGTGCTGTGTCCAATCTCGGTATCTGATATGGCTATTCGATACAATCATTCAGGAAGGAACGTAGAGGAGGTTTGGCAGGAGATCTCTAACATGGTTTCAATTGGGATAGAAAGAATGCAAACATCTTGCAACCGAATGGCGAAGGAAGCTATATGTGAATCTCGACGAAATGGATATTGATACTAAAAGGAGCACCGGCTATGTCTAGCAGGCATCCAATCCAACGTCTATCAGTCTACCCAGAATAGAGGCCCTCTTCTCACATCGCTGTTGGCCATTCCTGTCCTTGAACGCATTCCTATTATCTTTCACCGAGTCCCTGTTTTAATGACACAGATCCAGGCACATCCTCATAACCCTTATCATCTGTGCTATATCTGGAAACTCCTCGACAGTTCTTGCATCAATTTCGGGATTAGGCACATTCTCACGTCGGTCGCAATTGTCTGTCCACCGAAACCAGAGTCGTTGAATAGTTAATTACATGGGATGTGGGAACACAAATAACATCGCGCTGGTCGCTTTCTATAATTAGGCCCCCCGCGGCGGACTGGCGTCGATCACGGAGAGTCGGGAACCCGAACGGGTAAAGCTCGTCAAGGTCTATTTAGAGTATAAAATCAGGAATTGCTTTGAACTTAACGGGGTTTTTCTCCCCTCATGTTCTCTGCGAGTCTCCGAGCCTCTTCAACCTCCAAATGTCGCTCCCCATACGAACGCTGGGCAAAGATGGCCCTCCCGTCTCTGCCATCGGTCTTGGTTTTGGGAGCATTGGCGGATTCTACGGACCAGCTGGTACCATCGACGAGAGAGTCGCCCTTTTGGAGCACGCACATGCCAAAGGATTGCGCTTTTGGGATATGGCCGGCATCTACGGTGACAGCGAGGACGTCGTGGGCGAATGGATCAGACGATCCGGCAAGCGCAACGACGTCTTCCTGGCCACGAAGTTTGGGCTTCAGAGACAGCCTAGTGGAAGGCACACTTTCCGGTCTGATCCCGAGTATGTCAAGGCTGCATGTGCACAAAGCCTGCGGAGACTCGGCGTCGACACCATTGATGTTTACTACTGCCACAGAGTGGACGGAGTCACGCCAATTGAAAAGACCGTTGAAGCTATGGTGGAGCTGAAGAAGTAGGTCATCCAGCCTCGACATTGACCTAATATAAAATAAGCGAGGTTTAACTTTATATCCAGCCAAGGGAAAATTCGCTATCTTGGTCTATCGGACGTCTCAGCAGCCACGTTACGTCGCGCGCATGCCGTGCACCCTATTACCGCCTTACAGGTGGAATATAGCCTGTTTACATTAGACATCGAATCCCCAGCGTCGGAGATCCTCAAGACCTGTCGCGAACTAGGCGTGGCTATTGTGGCTTTTAGCCCGATTGGACGGGGTATACTCACAGGGCAATTTCAATCTAGGGCAGATATCCCCGAAGGCGACTTACGCCGCATGTACCCCAAGTACGCGGAGGAAAACTTCCCGGAAATCTTGAAACTGGTGGACACATTGAAGGATGTGGCCAATGCTCATGGAAGTACCCCTGCACAGGTAGCTCTTGCGTGGCTGCTGGCGACAGGACCAGATATCATCCCAATTCCGGGTACGAAATCCGCCGCTAGAATGGACGAAAACGCGGCGGCTGCACTGTTGCAGTTGAGCGACCAAGAAGTGCAAGAAATTAGAACTCTGGCGGAGAAGGTGAAGATCGAAGGTACTAAGTATCCTGCCGCGTAAGTAATTACTCTTCCTATGTTTGGCTCTATAGAGTGCTGACCGGTCGTATAGGGTGATGGCTACTCTCTTCTCAGACACGCCGCCGCTGGAACAATGAGTAGTGGATGCGAAAAGGGAAGAAGTCGGTTTTTCAAGAGTCTCCAATTTAAATTTGCCTTAGCCAGCAGTCTCAGGAATACTAAGCAGGAGTTTATAGTCCGAAAGAAAATGAAGCTGAACCCTGAAATGGCAAGACATCCGGCGGGCAGGTCGTGTTCGCTGCAGGAAGCTGACCATTGAGGTACATCTGAACATTCTTCAAATAGCACGATGAAATACTGGCAATGGCAGTATGCTGGTAAAGAGTCCATTAGCGTTCTAGCCCTGCAGGATGGTCGATTAACTTACGCCAACTGATGCCTGGGTCAAAACGACCGATCCAGGGAAGACCGACGACATTTTGTATGCACTGTAACATGGTCAGATTGGGCTATTTCACAGTCCAATAGCTAGATACTCACCCTCTCTTGGGAGCAACGGGATCAGTCTCGGTTGTGACACATAAGATGGGGAACGAAGTCTGTCGAGTTTCCAAGATGGAGCCTAGTCGAGGTTAGAACTGACTCCAGAGTCAAAGCTGCTGCACCAGAAATACCTGGAAGCCGTCCGGACTTTGGCGGTTTTGCATCAAAAGATCTGCATGAGATTCCATTCGCGTTGTTGGGCCACACCTCCCCAAAGAAACGACTTTGCAAGGTCAGTGTGTCGACATAGTTTCGATAATCCGTCAGGTTCTCGAACTTGTGCCCAGCATAACCATCCACGCATTTGATCAACGTGTTCACATCCGTCGTCCCGTTCTTTCCACTGCCGTTATTGCACGGGTTTGCGGGTAAGAAGCCATCCGTGGCTGCTCTGACATATGCCGAAGTGCTGCCTCGTTCCAAACCCGACAGTACATCGGCTAGTACTGGAAAATTCGACAGCGGAGCATACGTCGCAATGAGAATGTACTCTTTCAAATCCGAATACGTGGCGAGCAAAGGGATATCGCAAGCGTCCGAGCTCGGAATAGGCACGGGATGGTATTTCAGCTTGGCCAGTAGCCCGTTCAAGCGGCCGGTGATGTTTTGAACAGATGGGCCCCAGTATGAACAATTTGTAGGGCCGCCCTGGAAGCAGTATTCGCTGAACGAGTCGAGGGCTTTATCCGCGTCGTAGAGATTGGTTCTCCAGCCCAGATCATAGTAGTCCGCTGCGTCAACCACACCATCGAGAACCATCCTGCCCACATGGTCAGGGTACAGAGACGCGAATGTGGCGCCCAACACCGTCCCGTAGCTCACGGCAAGGTATGAAATCTTGGACTCATTCACCGGCTTTCCAGCTAGCTTCTGCTCTGCGTTGATGTAGGTGAATAGGTCATGAGCCACGGCAGGCGTACCGACGAACGAGGCAACGATACAAACTACCGATTGGGCCGTGGCCGAAGGATAAGCACCTGAAGACGCTGGGGAAATACTTTCGGTCGGTGATCGACGAGAGTATGGAGATGTGGGTGATGTACTTGTGGACCAATGTGCTGGGAGTGAGTGCTTGCCACCCTCAATCCTCTTCCAAGGTACTAACTCGTTCTCAGTTTTCTAGAGCCGAGGTTGAAATGACAATCGCCGAGATGAGAAAGGCAATCCGCGATCCCAGCATCCACGGTTATATCCATGTCTCGGTGGTGAATGGTCGCAAACCGGACAAGTAGCATTTGAACCGCAGTCAACAACTCAGATTGCGAACTGAATCTTGTCATATCTGTATACATATGAGAAGGTGCCATCGTGGAACGATCTCAATCAATATGAGCACCTAGACCCTATTTAATCCACGTTGATGACAATCTCTCCCTCCCCAACCGGCCGTTCAAAGCCACTCAGATACCGTTCCAACACATCCTCTGTTAGATAGAATGCCGAGTCTCCATCTTTCTCAATCAATGCATTCCTAGCTGCTACTCTTCGCCGAATCTCCGTTGGATCCGCGTCCAGGTAAACCAGCACCCAGCGCCCACCCGCGTCGGAGATGAGCGCTTTCCACACATCACGAACTTCGCGGAATGCGAAAGAGAAATCGAGGACGACGTTCGAATTGCCATGTTCGAGAATGTGGACAAGTTGCTGCTTTAGAGCTTCTTCCGCCTCGTTTAGATACTTCTCGTAGAGTTCCTTGGGGTAGTCCACGTTGTAAAGGCCATGATGGGAATAGACATATGTGTCAATGGAGAGACGAGTGAAAGATGGATAGGTGGAGCAGACCGATTTCGCGAGAGTAGTCTTTCCAGATCCTATTAAGTCAGCAGATGCATCGATGGTGATGGATTGACATACATACCTGCCACTGCGCATGTCATCAGGACAACTGGGCGAGGATCCGAAGAGGTGCGTTGAATGGCAGGACCAAGTCGAGTTATGGAATCCGTCAGACGACTCATGATGCCAATGTGAATTCAGCAGAGGACCGTATACAAGTTGCTCCGCAAATTTGCAGATCAGTAGAGGTTAAATAATTAAGTGTATGACTCAGTTCTCACTAATTAAGTATATGACTCATTTCGACAACGGAACCAGTAGACCATTTCATATCCACATCGACGTATGTAGATCTGTGATGTATTGACCATTATACTGGGGCTTATCGAAAAGAAAAACCAAATACTAAACTACCTGCTCTTGTTTAGGACATCGGCAAACTTCGTCTCCAGATGGTTCTCCAACATCCGTTTATGGCCATCAGAAATCTTCCTGGCGTCCGTCAGCGTTTTCGCGTACTTGTCGATCAACTCGTCCAGACTCTCTTCCTCTCCCCAATCCTTCTGTGCTGCTTCTTTGGCCGCAACGGCCTCCTTCCATAGCGACTCCATCTCCTCAGTCCATCCAAGGGCATCCGCCAGTTTGCGCACCCCATCATCGCAATCGCCCAAGATGCACACATCTTCCGCCCGCTTCCCAAAGTCTCCTGCCGTCTCGCGATTCACCAGCACCCGTGGAACACCTTCACAAGCCAAACGCGGCAGTCTCGAGCACGGAGCAACCTTTAGGCTCGTCCCCATGACAAGCATCATGTCCGCCTCGGATACTTTCTTCTCTTTTTCATCGAATTCCGCAGGGAGAGACTGTCCGAAGAACACCACGTCAGGCTTTACAGCTCCTCCGCAGTCAGGGACCTGACAATACGGGACAGTGCCTGTATTGATGGCTTGTTTCATCAAGTCATCCGGATAGGGAGTCTCGCACTTCCAGCAGCGCTGGGTCCGCCAGCTCCCGTGCGTATTGAGGATCTTGTCCTCTGGGACACCGGCATCCCGCTCCAAGCCGTCTATGTTTTGTGTAAACACAAAATGGAGAAGATTCTTCTTCGCTAGAAGAGCGAGAAAAGCATGGGTGATGGTCGGTCTGAGGTTGTGAGGATGCCTGGCACGCGCGATGGCGTAGAACGGCTCGGGGGTGTGCCTGAAGTAGTTGATGGAGAAGATGGCTTCGGGATAGGGCAGTCTAAGGGGTTTGAGCCGGTCATAAATGCCAGTCTCGGGCGATCTGAAGTCGGGGATGCCGGCTGCGGTGGAGATGCCCGCCCCAACAAGCACAACGATCCGGTGCACCTGGCCGCTTTTGATGAGGTTGGTGATGTTTTCAATATCTGTCATTTTGTCACTGCGAAATGTCTCAGAATATTGAAGATGGTCTTTAGGGGAAATTGTTTAGGGGGTGCTGCGTTCTTATGCTTTGCAATTGCAGGCAGCTGTCAGCCTTCCATGATAATCGATCACCACGGCAACCCGCGTCTGGACATCTGACATTTCGACATTAGCCAACAGATCATCATCTGTAGAGCTCTAGGGCAGAATATGAAACTCTTATAAGGCCATCATACTTCTCTCATTTCTCGCACGATTGACTGCTCGATGAAGATTCCTTGTTGAACGCTGTCCCTGTGACAGCTCTTTCCACTCCGTTTCCCTGCGTCTATCTCAACATTTCTGGGGATTATCGAGATTTTACAGTAAGTATATCAGATGACTCGTAGATCCGCGTTCTTAAACCATTCCGCTTGATCATAGCGTCCAGTTAATGGTGGATACAAAGAGATGAACTATCATCTCTTCCCATGAGATTCTACCATCTTCTACCATCTTATCAAGTTATAAGCCTGGTTTCTCTGGTAAGCAGGCATCTGTGTCAGAACCGGCGTTACGCTTCGTCGACTCTCTAATAAGTGCCTCGTAATTTGATAATTTTAGATACTAGTCGCTATTTAAGCGCTGCTGCTATGACTGCAATGTCCACTTCCCAGATAAAAGTCCAGCGCTTAGTACAGCTGCTTTCCCGTTAGGATAAACGGCCCCTGCTGTGCGATCGATAAATCAAACGGAGACCCCAATGATATCTGCCTGACTAACAGGCTTTGCCTGGCCTAGGTCCCCCCGTATACCGGTCTCGTCCGGTTAAATGGGTGCACAGATCCTACGTGGGAGGGTAATGACTGGCCAAGCATCTGTCCTAAATGTGCGCGGTTCAAGCGTCCTCGATATCCCGTTCGGTGATGGACTGCTGATACAATTCCCTTGCCAAAAGCAATCCAAGGAAGTTGCGGGATTCATGTCCTGCCGCGTTCTGAGATCAGCAATGACCACTGGTGCTGCAGGGCCAATGGCTCCAATTGTTGCGACAATGCATTCAAGCTGCAAATGGGCAAGCTGGTGCTCTTGAATACCTCGTCGGCTGTCCCTACTCCTCCTGGCACCGCAACCACTACCACTGTCTTGATAACACAACATGCAACTGCCACGGCAGATGCTTTGAGTGATTCGGACTGCACAGATTCGAAAGCAATGGTAGTTGGCGTTAGCACTGGTGTTGGACTAGGCGCATGTCTCATAACATTATTAGGAGCCATGTGGTCCTAAAGACAGAGGCACCAGCAAAAGCTACAAGAGAAATAATAATTCACAGTAAACTGTGTCTTAAATACTTAACTATATGCTATTCCTGCTAGTGCTATTATACCTGTGGCAGAGCTTCCCTTAACTAAAGCTCCAAGAGTGTTTAAGATAGGGGCAGGATGGTGATCTTAATTAGTCTATATCAAGTGAGATTGTTTCTTAAATAAGCTGTTTATATGTATATCTAACAGGCTTTCTGTATATAACATTGCAGGATGATATTACCTAGTAGGGGTCTCTAAACCAGCTTTATTAGGAAAGCTAAGAAAAACCAAGTATAGTTAAGTGGCTCCTGAGCCTGTTCCTGCTTAGTCTGCTAGAGTTCCATCCAGCATTGGCATTGACCATGTGAGCCTTCCCTCTTCCTACTAGATCACAAAGCCTAGGCCTACTCTCTATATTTCTCTTCCCTTTCTATTTGTATATCCAGTTGTATTTGGGAACCACCGGTGCAACACAAAGCTAAGAGGAAGGAATGATAGATTCTAATGTGGTAGGATTGAGGTGTTGGGAACTGACAGGTCAGCTAGATCATGGGGCTTCCCCATAGCGAGACGTGGATTCAAAACAAACTGTTGCCTTCCCACCCGCCCCTCCCTTTAATCGCGCAGCTGACCGCCAAAAGTCGTATATATGACACGCCCGGCATGTTAACTAGCACTATGTTGTCATCCAGATCAGAAGAAAGTTTCTATTAGGTCTCTTGGCAAGTTAGGAAGAGATTATTCTCTCCCCTAGCTTCTGGTTACAGAGAGCATGATCCTATTCCATAACAGTGAAGAAATGGCCTCTTTGGTTGGATCATGCTGTTTCGGGGAATTAGAGCAGCAGAGCTTAAGTATTATTTTCACTTTATGAAGGGAGAGCCTAAGCGGATGCTAAACCTACAATGAGAAGCAGAATTACGACCATATTGCTTTTGGGGTGAGAAGTTGATTGGATCTGATGAATTGGTTTTGCCACCAGCGGCCAAGTAGTTGGTGGGAATTCGGAGAATTGGTTTCACTCCCAGGCGGATGTCAGTGGGAGCTTGGTCTTCGCCCCCAAAGGGCCAAGTACGGCAAGCCATTGGGACAAATCCAAAAAAACGTCTGTAGGTCTGTGGGTATGTAAGACTTTTGATATTTTCTGCCAGTAATAAGCACCTAACTGTTTTTAGATTTCAATTTTGCTTCCCTTAGGTATATTAAATGATTCAAATCGCTATATAGTAGGGATATCGAATGATTCAAATCGTCATATAGTAGGGATTCGAATCGCCATATGGTAAGGATATCGAATCACCATATGGTAGGGATATCAAATTGCCATATGGTAGGTATATTAAATGATTCGAATTGCTATATAGTAGGGATATCGAATGATTTAAATCGTCATATAGTAGGGATTTGAATCATCATATGGTAGGGATTCGAATCGCCATATGGTAAGGATATTGAATGATTTGAATTGTTATATAGTAGGGATTTGAATCATTTAAATAATTATATTATTCATATATTACTATAGTTGGGTATATATATTTTAAATATGCAGTGTTAGCAGGTGGGTTCTCCTATAACCTTCTATATATATATACTCTACCTATATAGGGCACTACCTCAGCATATAAGGATTTAATAGCCCTACTATATAATAATTTAAATCATTCGATATCCTTACCATATGGCAATTCGAATCATTCGATATCCCTACCATATGGTGATTCGATATCCTTACCATATGGCGATTCGAATCCCTACTATATGACGATTTGAATCATTCGATATCCCTACTATATAGCGATTTGATATCCTTACCATATGGCGATTCGATATCCCTATATAGTAAAATACCAAATGGTATGGAAATGTAATCCTAGTTAGGCGGAACTCTGAGCGGTCTACATAAAACACCTACAGACGTTTTTTCGGATTTGTCCCAATGGCTTGCCGTAGCCAAGAGGGCCGCCCAACCCGTCGAAGTCCCGGCCCTAACCCGGTCTCCGGGTCCCCTAGGCCCCTTTTGATAAGGAACTCTTTTCTATTCTTTACTCTTTTAAATATTAATAATTATATTATTAGGTTATTCAGTTTTCTCGCCTCCTATTGGTGGTTCTTGGTCAAACTTACCATGGCTAGCAAGGGCCAAAGGGAATGCTATCAGTGGAAGTTTAAGCATGCCCTCAGGTATGTTTGAGATCGGACACAGACGATCATAGGGGCCGGCCAGCGCGAATCTATATCACGGATGAGCTAGAACGAAGCATGCATGCCCCATATTTACTAGGCTTACCAAGTGGTATCTCTACCGTTAATTGGAGAACAGTGGTATGGTTTGTATACAGTAATTGCAATGGACGTGATTCTGCAGATGATTACGCAATTTTGTTGTATTTTCCCTTCTGGCAAACATAGAGGTGGTAAGCGTGAAGGCAGAGAAGAAATGACTGTTTTCGGTGTTCTTAGCCGGCAAACAGGTCCCTGTGGGAACGTTGCATACTGGCTTAAGCATCGAATGGATATCTTTTATCCTTGTTGGTAGCAATTTAATGCATGCTTTGAGATGACCATAGCGACACAGTCTGTGTAGTTTGCGCAAGGACAGACGCATTGGAGCTATTGCTCTAAAGCTTCACAGTTACATCAGAAATTGACCATAGCACAGGAGTTACACACTATCTTAAAAAATAAATGTCTGGCCAAAATGAGGTTTACTATAGTTGATAGTTATCATGCTGTGTCTTTCCTTAGCCACATATGTTAATGATGTATCATTCTGCAAGCAATGTGTGCATTAATGCATTACGATGAAGTGAGGGTAGTAAATCTGCTTTAACAACCAAACAAGTAGTGGGGACATTCTGAACTCTGTATAAGTGCTGAAATTATGATTTCCCCCTTTATGGCAATGATCGATCTGTCCAGACCCATCTAAACTTGAATTCAACTTGTACTCATCCTAGAGCTTCAGCCAGTTCGGCGCACCCAGGCCAAAGTCAGTTGCTGTTCAAATATGAAATATCTTAAGGATTGGTCCCATTCTAGAAAGCTAGTTTGGAAACGTAAATGACTAGATCAATTCTTATAATGCAATGAACTCACAACATCTACAGGTCTGGGATTATGCTGGTCTGTCTACAACTTCAGCAACTGCGACACTTCCACATGACTGTAAGGAGATTCTGATCATTATTGATTAATGCCAATAAAATGCTAATTTTTCTCTGACAAGTCTAATTTGAGATATGGAAAAGGGCCTATGAGCGAATTGGCAGAGCTCCAGTGTTTTGACAGGGAAGGTATGGAGACTTTTCCGTACTTTACTTGGCGGTATTTCTGAGGATTCTTCAAAGGGCTCTGAATCTGTCCGTGGACGGAACATGGACTAATTCAAAGCCAACATCTCGAAGAAACTATACATTATTCCTTCATCATCGAGCCCATTCCTTCTTTCACCTCGAATTGGGGAGCTACAGTTACAACTAGCCTTGAAATGTCCAGCAACGCTGCTGTGCAACCATTTTAAGTCTCTGACATCAGTACGAGAGAGAAAACTCGCTGTTTTTATGCCTGTGAAGTTTGAGGCACTATTTTCAATATTACCTCATTACAGGGTGGGCAAATCAGCACGAATATACTGCATCGATCATGGACGGGGATGTTAAGGTGGCAAGGGATATGTACGCTCACGGCTCAATCCTTCTTGGAATTTATCTCTTATATCATGCATGCCAAATTGCTGGCTGTTCATTAGTATTGAGCACAGTTTGGCTCGGCCAATTTTCAAGAATTGATGTACTTAAGAAGGCTATCTTTCGCAGCATTATCAATCAGTTTAGTCTACACAGCAGTTGGATCCATTTATCAGGCATTGCTCCTTTCTGCAGCTCCTCAGAAAAACACTCGCATATCCAGATCAAGACATATACCGCGTATTTCGGAGTGATTCCAGTTGCTGCAGTTAACCACCGTCTTTGCTACCAACCTTTACATTTCCCACTGTACTTTACTACTATCCAATCATGGATTGCTTCCCACATGTTATCCAATATGTGAAGTCCTTATTCCAGAACCAGACGGCCAAGGAGTCAGAGATAGTAAGTAAAGATTCCTGCGTAGTTCCTAAGCAGGCTCCTCGCCCATATTCCATAGATCCTTCAAACTAACCTCCGCAAGGAAGAGCCACCAACGTGTTCCTTGGCTGACGAGTCAGTAAACTGGTTAATACAAAGACCCTTGTCTCAGGATGATACCAGTATCAGCACAGTGGCTACAGAAATATTGGATGAAAACGAAGAGCAACGACCAATAACAGTCAAGCAAGAAATTACCGGACGAAAACTAGGGCAGCTGCAGACTATGGTTCCTTTAATGCAGCTGAGCAATGCTCAGATTCACCGAGTCAATATGGACTTCGCTCCCCGTCATAGTTGCCATCTACAAGTCCAAAAAGGACAGTTGGTGAGTTTAGAGTATATATTTGATGATGGATGGGTAATATAAGTCTGATTTCCCATACATGTGATCTCTATGCTAACCATTCACAGGCCCTGTGTAGACTGATGGGAACCAGGGTTTATGGATTCATTCCAGGGGCATATCTCTCCAGCAGCCCCGTCACAGTGCGGATAGTGTGTACTCAGCAATCCCTACCGAGACGAAACTCTCTGTAATAGAGCATATGGCTATCGCACCTGTCCAATCTGGTCGTTTCTTGGGAAGGATCTCACCGTGGGAACACCATTAGCTTTCAATAAACATTTTGCTCTCACGAGTGACTTTTACAATCTCTTTTGGGGTATTTCCGTCTCATAAGGGTAGTAGTGTACATCCGTCATCTAGACTATTCATTGACGAGATATATTGACTGCTACTGTGAGAGGTCACTCTTCATTGCTTATGAGTTTGGCATGGTGGTCATAACTTGAATCAAGCTTTAATTTAGCTGCTATAGAAAGTAGAGTTGCATTTTGTCTGAGTTCGGGCGAGTTGAAAACCAGTTGGCACCAAACCACAAGTGATTTTGAGCTCTAAATTTTAGAAAATCAGGACCCTCTGTTAGCACTATCAGTATATACTAAGACTGTAAATATAACCTCCCTCTAAGATGCTTCACAAACTTACTTATAGTAGAAAAAGAAAAGTCCTCCTTTATTAACCTTACCTTCCCTAATACTTCCATGGAACTACATCCCATCCCTAATGCCAGCAGGACACCACCTTTCTAATACACTACGCCCACACCCTTAATTAATAACAATAGCTTCACCCGCACCCTCATCCCCTATGGCTCCTTATCCTTCAACCCCTTCACTATCAGCGCCACCATCAGCTCCATCACTAAGAACCTGAAGTTCATCGTTGCCCTACATCTGAATGCCCTCTTCCTAACCATGGCCACAAAAGGCCCTCGCGACACTTGACCAGCTAAGTCACGGCCGAGTCGTCGTGCATTCTCATCACCGGCGGCAGCGACGCAGAGCAAGCGCGCGAAGGCAGGGAGATATGCAAGGCTGGAGGAGTATATCCTCATTCTCCACCGAACATGGGAGTCTTCCGACCTATTTGGCCGGGATAGTGAGTCCTTCCGGCTCAAAGGGTTCAGTAATCGCGTTCGATCGGTCAAAAACATCATCCCCGTCTCGGTGGGTGGTTCCTCAGACGAATCGTATTGAGATGGCAGAAACTAGCCGATATTTTTAGATTCCGGGGCGAGCCATTGAGGGGGACGAAGAAGCAGATTGACCGGATCTATGCTGTAGCCGACAGGGCTGGCAAAAATGAGAACGACAGGCGCAAGATAAGGGTGACCTTTCAGCCTATCCTGGCGGAGACGGATGAGCTGGCGTGGGCCAAGGTGCAGCACACATTGGAGGCCTTGCAGGCGAACGCCGGCGGGAGGAACAGCGCGCCACTGCAGAATGTCGGATCGCAGCGACTTTTGGGGGTTACGGCCAGGGGAGAGGTGCAGGATCGGGTATTGTAGTATCCCACTGTGACGGCGACAAATGCGCGCGGGGCATGGACGGCGCTGGTGAGACCGGTCGAGACGATTGCCCAGTTGCTTGTTATGTGCAATGGCGGCGGAGTTTATCTCGATTCGGGGATATGATAATTATAATGATGCTGTCGATTATGGGAGATATATTATGGCCAGGGTGAGGGAGACATTGACGGACTTAACACAACTGAGATGGAAACAAAGCCACCTCCTCTTCTGATACGGTATATTCCATGCATGCGGGTGCTGAACAAGGTTGGAATGAAAGTGTTCAAAGTATAGGATTCTTTCCATCTTCTACTCGTAAGCGAATATCAATGATAGTACGGCTTACCAAACCTGCGAGCGCATACAGAAAATTTGCAAGGTCTTAGTGGTAGCTTCAGACGCGGCAGCATAAAATGTACATGGATATGAATGTCAACTGATGGCTCTTCAAATGGTCACTTGAATGACCGAGAAAACTGCAATGTTGCAGTAGTGACATGCATGGGTCATGGGAAATTACGTCTATGCTAGAGCTATCTCTCATGGTCCTGTGAGTAAGGCCTTAGCGCCTACGGCTACGGCTTCATGAAGGTTTGGCAGTACTATTTAGCATAGACCAGCCTACACCAGAGAGGGTTTCAAAGTTGTCTATGCTCATGAACAGGCACCAGGATATCTAAATTCTGCAGCTTTCATTGAGCGCTCATAGTGCCTATTCGGAAATGGTCAGCGACCTATTTGCCTAGTATCCTTTGTATACAGAGTAAGCTTAAGGATATCATCGATTCTTACAAGCAAGCGCCCCAGACAGCAAAAATAATAGGATGTCAGATGATCACTTAGTTAGTGACAGTGGTCATGTTCTAGCTCATAACTGTCTCCGACAGCAAGTTCCCATAATAGAAGGACAAGAAGGGAGTAAAAGCACCTAACGTGCCTAAGCCGGATGGATCCACAGCACACCCTTTTCTATTTGCTAGCTATCTGGCAGAGGTATTGGCACAGATCTACACTGGTACAATCTATGCATGCTGCAGAATGGGCATGTTGTACTTGCCTGTTGCCTAACAAAAATATCAAAAACACCTTCACCCTTCAGTGAAGGCAGTTGTCGATCTTTTGCTTAGGCCATGCGATGGAACTCATCATGCCGCAAGTCACAACCCCCTGCTTAGATTATGTTCCTTGTTTAGCCCCCACAATGAGAATATATCATCCTGAAAGTCATCCGCCCTATGTTTGAATGTTACACCTCGCTTCGGCCGTATAATGGTATGGCTAGGCTCACCCATTCTAGGCCCAACGTGATAATGCCTATTTTCAGTTAGAAAATACGGTCCAAATTTATCCTCTGCGTCTGGTTCCACGATCTGAGACCCTTAAACCTTTTTTCCTTCCCGTAACTAATGCGCCAGGCAGAGTGGTACATCAGTAAAGTATTCAATGCCTTTGTCTGAATACCCAAAGCCCTTGATCGGCCCTCTGGAAGACAAACATTGCGTAAAATCAGTCTTCATACCCAGACAATGTAGGTGGATCAGGCCCATTGAGAAGTTCGTTTTTACATACTTTCTACATGACAGGGGAAGAATTCCCGGTCAATGATGTAGGCATGTTGCTGGTTGACATGTAAGGTTCCCAGCAAGGAATCAGGAAGTGGGGCTTTTGCTCAGGCCACATGATTCATGATCTGCTTAATGTCTTTCTTAATATGACTGATCGTCAGCACTACTGCATGTCGGTTTCTTAGGCGCGACCATTTGCAGATCCAATTGAAACGTCCTGTTATGTTGCCAATTAAGATTATAACAATCTCTTGAATACTAAGGCTTTCTATATCATAAATGGAACTAGTACATTTGCCCGATGGTGAACGAGTGCCTTGATTGCGTACAAGCGAGTAGAACGATATTGCATATTAGGGTCTGGAAATAGTCTCCGAAGTAAGCTGAGTCATGAGACCATCCTGTACGTCTGGTGTTTCTGAGAAGCAGAAACAAGAAGGAACTTCCCTTTATCACCCGAACTGAGACCTATTCCTGCATCATGGGAAGAGCCCAAAAGCTGGAAAAGAGCCAACCAGCAAGGAGATCAGACTTGCTAGAATACCGGAGTGGCCATGAGTAACACAGGAATTGCAAAAATGTCTGTAGTGTTGAGTAAGGGCGAACCGACGATGTTGAGGATCAGAAGGTCAGCGACCTTAGAATTAGTTACACTAATTTTGTGGTCAGACTCACATGGAATGTCACAATGTTGACATTGGAATCCTTCACTGAGCATAGCCCATACACTGTAGAATCTCCTTGCTGAATCTGATATTCCACAGTGGTAGCCATAAGGGAAGGAAAGGGCAGATATAAAGGCCATGCCATCTCGCACTTAATCAGTTCGGACAACTACTGGTGATCCTCGTGATTATATTGAACTACTCAGACATTGCCCTCTTAACCTACGTATACAATGGTGAAAGCACTGATAATCTTTGTAGTCGCGTGGGGTGAGTTTCCAATTCTATCAAAAATGATTCAACTTTAAGCTAACCATGGCTTGAACAGCAGCGTTTATAAGCACGTCCTGGGCCCAGGCTTGCTCCCCCGCGGTAGGTCATCTACCTGTTATCCTGAATATACATGACTAGTTTGACATTTTGAAAGTGCCCTGCTGGCTTGACTTGCTGCAGCGGAGTTTGCAGACTACTGACCATTGATACTCAAAATTGTGGAGCATGTACTCATACCGTATGTTTTTCTACTTGCTTAATATATGAGAATTACTGACCATGCTTTTATAGTGCCCAGCTGGCTCAATCTGCAGTAATGGTGTTTGTGCTTGCATTCTTAACAATAACCAGGCACCATGTGCTGGAAAATGTGTAAGTGCAACTACTCTTTAAGTTGCAAGTTTTACCTAATATATGACTAACATTTTCTTGGAAGTGTGCATCTGGTCAGACATGCTGTAATGGTGTCTGCACTGCTCTAACCACAACATCTAACTGCGGAACATGTGGCAATGCTGTAAGTATATTAAAGTATTCCCCATGATATTATTGTTAAGCCCTTTATAGTGCCTAACAGGTCAAGGATGTTGCAATGGTGCTTGCACAGCACTAACTACCGCATCTAACTGTGGAGCGTGTGGTAATGCTGTAAGTCAGCACCTGGCATGAAAAGACATGAGCAGTACACTGATATAGAAAGTGTCCTACCGGTTCAACCTGTACAAATGGTGTTTGTATTTGTGCAACCACTGGACTGCCTCCATGCAATGGGCAATGTGTGAGTAGATTTCCAGCTCCTATCCATTATAAATGCATGACAATCTGACATTGTGCTGGCTGATAGTGTTCAGGTACTGGCCTTGCGTGCTGCAATGGGGCCTGCACGAACTTACAAAATAATGAGGGCGGTTGTGGATCCTGTAGCACAGTGGTAGGTCCTGCCAATGAAGTCCTAACTACCGAGTGATATTATGACTAACTTGGCGACTTTAACAGTGTGCAGCAGGTCGCAGCTGCTGTAGCGGGACTTGCACTGACGTTACTACCACCACTCACTGCGGAACATGCGGCAATGCTGTAAGCCTCTTGCACTTTTTCTTAGGAGGTCATAACTAACCCTGGCTTCGGAATAGTGTGGGACAGGTCAGAGCTGCTGCAATGGGTTCTGCACTAATGAGGCTACCGACACCTCAAACTGTGGAGCATGTGGTACTACTGTGAGTCGGCTTGCACCATTCAATATTCTTTACAGCTATAGCTGACTTAGTATGCTTGAAGTGTCCATCAGGTCAAGGTTGCTGCGCTGGGACCTGCACAGACCTAACCACTACCACGGACTGCGGAACATGTGGTAATGCTGTAAGCCATCTGCAATCTCCTGTTACCCATGAGAGCGAAACATTAATTTGGGGTAATTGCTAGTGTCCTGCTGGTTCAACCTGTAGCAACGGTGCATGTGTCTGTCCTGACACTGAATTGCCTCCATGCGGGACCACCTGTGTAAGTTTTGCTTATTTTCTCTGCGGTAGAGCAGGAAACTGACTTTCTGTTATATAGTGTACTGATGGTACTCTTGCGTGCTGTGCCGATACTTGCACTAACTCTCAGACTGATCCTGCCAACTGTGGTACATGTGGCACTGTTGTAAGTCAACCTCTTAATATTCATTGCCTCATACATAAGGTCGAAAACTAAATTACTACCTCCCATAGTGCACCGGACTTACACCCAACTGTGTTGCTGGGGTTTGTTCTGCGTAGGAACATTCAGAGAATTAGTAAGTTGAGTCATTATGTCAGAAGGTTGGACTGTGTATTGACTTGAACCCGTGGTTTTCCAAGGAATCCAATAGCCACCCGAATATTCCATGGAATATGGGGCAAGAGTTCAGCTTTCCTAACATTTTCTTGCGGCGCTCATTTCAACATCAGGGCGGTCAGACATATTTGTTGTTTTCCTATTGATCGTTGCTTACTCTGCAATTTTGTCATGTAATGCCTTTGATGTGCCAGTGAGCTCAACCTCAACTGGTAAACGCTCTCACATTTCGGTTTTCCAATTACAATGGCAATTATATCTGAGACTTCTGAATGAACGAGTTGTATGCGTCATTAAGAAATTAGTAGTATTGATAGAGAATCTAGGGACTCTATCTCGCCACAGGGATCAAGCCCACAGCTTTGGCAAGTAGTCAGCTTGATGGAGAAGACTAACGCAACATGGGTGTCATTCCAGATCGCCAAATTTTGACGATCTACTATCGGCTCGCGTTTGGCTTTCTGTCTGGAGGAATGCTAATGGACATATTAAGATCAAAAATGAGGTAGTGGCTCCAGGCTGACTAGATTGCGGTTCTGTTGTAGGAATAGCAACGTGGCTTACTGGCTAGAGTAATGCAGAGTGTTACCGGCGAAGCCCAATGAAAGTGCCAGGTATTGAGCGCATCCTTTGTATCGCTCTTATTACCATGCAATCACACTGTAGAGCTCTTCTC